TTATTTAATATCTCGATTCCAGTGCCATCTGCCGGCTCCACTTTTCGCAAAAAAAAATATTTTTCAATATGTAAGTAGTATACGTTTCGCCTTTTCTACATATGTATACGTACCCCAAGCCACCTAGCGGATGTATTTTTTGCAACAGTGTTTTTATTGCATAACAAATATGTATACATAAGTATATTTCGAAAATGCCCAAAATCAGTCCTGAATTAAGGGACCCCAGCGCCACCTGGCGAGTTATTTGGTAGCTCATGTTGACACCAGATGTCTAAGGAATAACATCCTAGCCTAGACTTCTCTCATGTATTCCACAGACTGTGCGTTGTTCTCTGGTCGAGTCGCAGAACAGACAAAGATCATTTAACCATATCCACAGCATATATAAATATCCTCTTAGTCAGCATTGTTCTGTAAGGACAAGCCTCATTTAGAAGGTTATCTAAGCTTTGAGATCTCCACTTGTTATAACCTTCCAGTAAACTCCTTGCCTGACGCGTTCCTACCGAACTATGCCAGTTTATATCCCTCAGAGGCGGAAGGGCTCGGGACCAACTGGTGTGATGGCCGCGCCCCTTGCGAGATATTCCGCTGTCTCATTACTCTCTATTTCCCTGTGACTGATGAAGCGGCTCTTGGAGTTTTCGAGAGAAATTCTTCGAAAGATTTATGGGCCCATACGCGTTGGCGATGGCGAATACCGCAGACGATTAAAACTCAGCGGCTCCGCTGGCTAGGTCAAGTAGTTCGAATGGACAGAAACGTTCCAGCTCTGAAAGTATTCAACGCGGGCGCGGCGTGCTGTTTTGGATTCGGTCAAATAAAGTAGATGTACGTTCTTTGTTTTCAAACAAATTTACGTTCTATTACAACTTTCAAGTGCTGTCAAGTTTCACAATTACAATACAGAAACCGGAGTGTCTGGTTACATTGGCTAAAACCTGTCAATTTTTTCTTTGAATGGCAACTTAGCTTCCTTGGCTCATTCCTTTCTTTTCAATTTGTCAAATCAATTGAACGTCGGATTAAGAAAAAGTGTTTTAATTAGTGGGAAAGGTTAAAATATCTGTTGAAATCAAGTGAACTCCACAATTATGAGTGAAACTATCAACACTAGTACACAGTTTCCGCAATTTGAAAAGCCAACTGTGCAATTCAATGAAAATGGCTGGGGCCCATGTGAACTACCGGAAACTTTTCGTGATATGCCATACCAGCCGTTTAGTAAGAGCGATCGTTTAGGAAAGATTTGTGATTGGACCAGTAGCTCCAATAACGAAAAGAAGTACCAAAGTAAGTTTTGGTCAAAAGGTTGCATCAAAATTGTTAAGCAGACTTTTGTCTTTAATGTGAGGTTATGTGCAAATCTGTTGGTGAATCGTGGCAGCCATATTCATTTCCCTCAAAAGGAAAACGTCAAATGCGTACTTTTTTGACCACTGCCGAATCGCATAAAGAGAACAAAAACAGCTGTAATTGCAGTCGCTTTTGTTTACAAAGGTTTTGTGGCATTTTGAAATGCACTATTTTCGGGTTGATTTTATTTGAGGCCATACAAAATTGGTATCAGGTGAAAAGGAGGTTCTATATTATATATAACTTCGGTAAAAAAAATTAGGAAATCTTTAGCTATTTGTACAACGATTTAGGGGAGGAGGTTCGTGGCTGAAGGGCTGAACACCTTTTGCAGAGATATTTCGTGGATATTTTTTGTTTGACAGCTCAGCTCGGAAACTTGCCAAAAATACCATATTTCCATTCGACATTATTAATAAATTAGTGCACAGATATAGTAAATTTTATGTTTGTAATAAAGCGTGAACTGTTGTCTACAAGTGTGTGTAAAAGGTTTTTGATTCGATTCACGCGTTTGCGCACAGCAACCCAAAATCGTTGTACAAACTCAAAGAGTTAAAAAGTGAAGTTTTGGAAATATTTAGCTATTTGTACAAACGCATGTCGATGCACACTAAAGTCAACCCATGAATAAAAACTAAGTTACTGCTTTTTCTTAAAATTGCATACCTTTTACTTCAATTTTGTTTGAATATATCGAGTAAAAGGTCTGAAATTTGAATGAATAGGTAAATTACTAAACAAACCAATAAATACTAAATTCAGGCAGGCTGTGCAATTCACTTCCGAGTGAATTTCAACCAAAGTTACTTTGTATTCAAATTTAACAGGGGAAGTGTTTTCCATAGTAACTACCATATGCAACCATATCATTTATTAACCACTTATTTTTTATTTACTTAAGTATATACATATATAATATACAAACTATTCATTACTATTAATTTAAATTTGCAGATAAGTACGCTTCATCCTTTGGTACCGGCAGCCAATATGCTTATTACCATGAAGAGGATGAAACTACTTTCCATTTGGTAGATACCGCACGCGTGCAGAAGCCGCCACATCAACGTGGACGTTTCCGTTCGAACATGCGTAACAACAGGTGAGTTTAAACAATTTACACTTATTATGACTTGTGTGTATATCTACGAATTCTTTATTAAAACCAGGTCAGCGCGTGGTCGCAATCAACGCGGCGGCATGAATT